TGTATCCACTATGGAGGGAAGTCACACTGTACGCTGGAGTTACTTCTAAATCCAAAGTTTCCAAAGAAGGACATTTGCTTGAGTGTCATGTGACCATAGGCTTAGAGAAATGCTGATGTCAGTGGGATGTTGGTGGGCCCATTCTCTGTTCTCCACAGCATTGAGGCAATACACTCTGTCTGTCAAGCTTTAAGTGCTCTGCTCAAGGGGGAAAAAAAGAATGAATGGGAACAAGGGAGGCAGCAGAAACACTTGGAAGGTAGAACTCATGTACATTTACTTTATCCAGATTATCTTGGATATTATTTTCCTTATTGTAGGGTATTTCTTATATTCTTGGTTGTACGGTGAAGCTGTAATGTAGGCAGAATCAATGATGGGCATCATGTATGCTGTTACCTTGTATTCTGTAGTACTATGCTGGCCCAAAGGACTGCCTCTATATTACATTATAAAATAGCTTCAGGATTTTTTCCCTCTTATCCAGTGAATGTGATAGTGAGTATGGTAGACCTGTATCTACAAGATATGCTCAACAAGTAACAGAAATTTGAAATTAGCATTCCTATTAAATGTTGGTCCTGACAGAAAAGGAAAGAAACATGGTTTAGAGAAGACAAACTGTTTAAATAGTTTGGTTAAGCTGTAAATATTAGAGTGTTTTTCATTTAATGAAATTTGCCTCTCTCTGTTCTGGGATGCATTTGCAATGTGCACAGAATATAAACATAAATATGGTGCAGTTGGGTTCAGTTTCATGTACAAAGCAGACATATTCCTGAGTAGTTTAAGAAAAAGTAGATTTGTTTACAGGGTGTAAGTGCTTAAAGTTTAATGGAAAAGCTGAAGCAGTGGAGTTGCTTGGAGGATTGCTACAAAGCTCTGGATTTGAGTCCACCTCTGCAGTTGTGATTCAGAGGCCAGCGATCTGCTGTGATCTTATGTATTGCTGTTGCCCTGAAGATCCCTTGTCTTCTAAATGTCAGCTACAAAGTGGAAGGGGGATGTAGGTCCCAATTGCTACCGTGCCCTCTCTGGAAGCTAGCTTAGTGCTTGTCACTGCAGCAGGAAGGTCACCACTATTGCTTTTGGTCCTTCAGACTTGCTTAAGTGCATCCCATTGGCAGAAATCATCCATTCAGAATCCCACTACAAGGCCTACACTTGACTTTCCATGCCCTGACTCTAGAGTAGGGTGTGATCCATGTACAGTGTTTAGAACTCCCAGGGTCTGCACTCAAAGAGCTCACAGTTCAGCATCAAAGACAGACAACAAAAAGATTATCAGGGCTTGGCAAGATGGCTGTCAGTAAAGCGCTTGCTATATGACCATGAGGAACTGAGTTCCAGACTCACTGTCCACGTAAAAAGTTGGATGTAATGACACACGCTTATAATCCCAGTTCTGGAGAGACACAGTCAGGAGGATCCCTAGGGCTTACCAACCAATGAGACTAGCCTAATTGGCAAGATTCAGGTCCTAGTGAGACATAGCAAAAGCATTAGATATCAAAAAGACAGAAGAATATTGGTGGAATTGTTAAGGCCACTCCACATAGTTAAAAGGAAAATTTATTAGTGGCACAACTTACAAATGAAGGGATAGGTAGGTCACAGGGTCTGGGGAAGGTGTATCGCAGTCCAGCGGTGTTCTCTGGAGCTCTGCTCGGTCAACCTCCACCATCCAGGGTCCAGGAACCGAGCGAGCTGGCCCATCCCTATCTCAGGTCTCCAGGCTCCTCCCATGGCCCTGCCTTGTAGGTGTGACAGTTGCCGAAGCCTCAATGGGGGTTGGAACTTGCAGATTAAAGCTAGAATGGCTACCCACTACAGAAGAACACCTGAGTTTGATTAGGGCTTCCAGTTATACATGCACACATATCCATGAACACCTATACACGTGCACAAAATCATGCACATGCACACATATAAAGACATGTAGAGGATATGAAACAAGTGCAGTGGTGAATTTTGGTGCTGCTGGTAGCAGAGAGAAGGCTTTTATGAATGAGCATTCTCGTGGGAAATGAGAGAAGGAACCAAAGTGAGCATTGTGGAAATGATGTTGCCTGAGCCAAGTCCTAAGGGCTTAGTGAGAGTAGAAAATATAGAAGGGGGTTGGGGAGACCATGCTAGGCATGAGGGAGACAACAGTCCACAACCACAACACAGACAGTGACCATAGGCAGAAGACATGAATGGAAGCAACACCCTGAGTTTGGGGTTTGGAGACATCAGTTTGACCTCGTGCTGCATTAGGAACATGATGCTTCACAGCATCTTAGAGGTCAGGGATGTTAACACTGCAGAACCCAGAGGATGCTTAGAGTAAGATTAGAGTGCAGGAGAAGAAGGAATCCATAACCGTGCCTTGGACTTCTCTGCATTATTTAAGTCAGAATTCCGAGCTAGATGTACTTGCTTGAAAAGTGGAGTCTCTTCCTATTCTTTCTCTTTGGCTTAACTGTAATTTGGCATGACTCAGTTGTGTATTAAAAGAGCTCTGTCCGTGAAAGTGTTGTATGTTTTTCAGGAGAGAAGGCAATGGCCTCCCTTGTAATTGTCAAAATTTAATAATCCTGATTTGAGACTCATGGTGTTATTTCCGTATGACGGATGCTCATTCAGCTATGTTGTAGATGTCAACTCCATATATTTCAAAGACACAGTAAATAGTTCTATTCAGACAGTGAAGCCTGTTTCCAGTCTCTAAAACATCTTTCTGTCACAAAGGAGAAGAATGTTGAATTTATTACAGCATAAATAATTCTGGTTGCATTGTTGAGCTCGTAGGAACAGAAGACAAACACACGCAAAACTCTACAATGAAAACTGTGAGAATAGCTGAGAACCAGGCACTTCTGGAGTAAAATGCCAAAGCAAGAACCCATAGTTGTAGAGGATCATGGGTACTCAGGTGTGGGTGTTCTTGTACATGCTGAAGGCAAAGGGGTGACTGGATGTAGAACCAGGCACTCATCTGGGTGCTGTGTCCTGTAATAATGCTTCAGCTGGCCAGGAAAGAACCAATGATATTGCTTTGCCATTTCTATATCCTGTTGAAAAGTAAACATGTCAATATTAGTGATAATGATGTTAGTAGCCTTCTCAGTTGCCCAGGACCATGATAATTTGAAGAGTGTCTGAAATTTGAATATATGCTGGATTCAGAGAAACCTCAGCAGGGTAAATTAACTTGAAACCATATGAAGGGGCTAGCGTCTCATACCTGGTGAAAACTGAAGCAGATGTTGTTTAGAGAAAGGCATCTCCAAGCCATCTCCTTCTAGATGCTTGATAATTAATGTTATTCTAACTTGAGTTCATCATAAATGGGATGCTATAAGAAAAATCAATAGTGAGAGCACACAATTCACACTCTCAAGAACTCAAAAATATAATGTTGTGCTCACAGCTTTTATTATTAATGATGAAAATAACCAATATGCACAGAGACCAAGAATCTAGCAAATAAAGTTAGTGTGAGAATCCATTTTATTTCTACCAGATTCCTAAAATTGGAAGGTGGTAATATACCAGCTATGCAAAATAACTGGAATTGGAATGTAATGCTTGGGGAAGGAGGGGTATAAATTGATTCAGTCACTTGTGCTGGTTTTGTAAACTTGAGGAGCATTTGCTCTGGGAAGCAGCATCAATGCTGAGAAAAATGCATTACTATATCCTTGAATGTGTGTGTGAAGGATGTTTTGAGGGCTGCAGTATGGGCCATGGCAAACACACAGATCATGTAAAGAAGGACATGCATGAATGAGAGAAGATAAGTCAGTTACCATATATACCATAACTTAGTCATAGTAATCATTGGTGACACTGGACTACAGTGATACTAAACATGTGTAGCTCAAATGTAGTGAACCTCAGAAATGATGCTATGTGACACACACACACACACACACACACACACACACACACACACACACACAAACACACACAAGCTGACATACTTATAAAGTATCCCCAATTAAAAACAGCTTATTTTCCTACACTGGCCCATGTTTTGGATCAGAAAGTCTTACTGAAGAGAGCACTTAAATAAAACAAAAACAAAAACAAAAACAAACAAACAAAAAACATTGGATTTTACCTTCATGCTCTGCGGAACACAACAAAATGATGCTACTTGAAAGACAAGATTAGGGGAGTTTGTGTTGTTACTTTTGTTCGTTTGTTTATGAGGACCAATGGAGCTGATGCTTGTGGAGTTTTGACATAGTAGAAGAGAGAAGAGTCAATCCTTTGGAGGAGAGTCTTCCGCATATTCAACCAGGTGTCAAGGTTGTGAGTCATCTGGCTTAGGTATCACTTTATGCTAGCAACTGAGCCACAGGCACACCCCCTTAGTCACAGCTAGGCAGAGCAGATTCTCTTCATCATTCTGGTCTCAGACGTATCCAGGTAAGTTTTGATGAAGAGGAAGTAGGCTTTAACGGAGTCCCACCTTACTCCACTGGAGTGAGCTCAGAGCACTTTTGATGCTCATTTAAACTACTGAATGTTTTCTGAGGTTTCCTGTGCCAAAATGATGGGTTTTCATTTTGCTTAAGCATGTTCATATATGGTATCATTCCTGTTACTAATGACTGCACCTTAAGTTGATAAAATATTAGAATTTAAATGCATTTTATTATCAATAAAATTAATTTAAATAAAGCAATTATTCTTACCTGAATCTGGTATTTGACACTTCTTTCTAATCTGTCTTTTTTCTGTGCTTCTGTGATGGGGATAACTATTAGAAGTTAGGAGGCTTAAAATACACAGGATGAAAGATGACGAAGTTCCTTTCAGCCACCCATTCTTGGGAAGAATTCTCTTTACTACATATTGTTTTAGTTTCTTTGGAGATTCTCACTGTGGCAAAACTTGGTCCTTTTTCTTTAATGTGTGGATTAACACTATTAACTAACATGCAATATTTCCTGAGCCACTCCAGTGTGGAAAAACCTGTTCTAACTTCTCTACCTCTCTTGCTCTAGGACAGCTTCCCCGCAAGATTTGGAGGAATTCATTTCGTCAACCAACCTTGGTATATCCATGCCCTGTACACTGTGATCCGGCCTTTCTTGAAGGAGAAGACTCGGAAAAGGGTACTTTTGTTATTTTTTTTTGTTTTAAAATCTGATCTCGGTCCCTATCCACATTCAATGAGTTATGATGCACACTTTGATTGCTTAATGTCAGCCACGATAGAATTTCTTTATTCTGGTCATGTTACTATTTAGCATAAAAGACATTTACATATTTTAGAGAGTTCACAATCTCTCTAAATTCTCAACAATGTTTCATAAACAGGACATTTGAAAACAAGCTTTCCTACTGTTTCACCAAATAACGAAACATGGTACTACTTTCATTCCTATGGCAGTCTCACTGTAAACCTCAAACTACTGTGCTAGGTTCTTCCATTATTGTTGGCAATCTTAATTTCAAGTAAGATCTAGGCAAAAGTTATCATCTTATTTACTGACAAATGAATGCTTGTTATTTCACAATATTTACTGAAATAAGTAAATTTTGCAGAAGCTGATATGTTTGTGTAGTAACAGTCATGATGTCCCAGATAATTAGATAATAGTACTGATGTGTTGAAGTTTTAATATTTCTCTAAATAACATGTTATATGAATTTCCTCAAGATTGAGTTTCATCATAAAAGGGTGGTAATACATATACATGAAAGAAAATCATGACTTTTCTGCAATTATATAATTATTTAAAGCATTTAGTACTAGCACCATAGTACATGGTAAATTGAATAGGCATGCTTATTGAACACAGAATTTAAAAATGTATTTAATTATACATTATTTCATTTATTCATTTATCAGCTCTGTAAAGGATATTTAAAATATTGTTCAGCTACTTACACACACACACACACACACACACACACACACACACACACACACACACATAGAACAGTTCAAATAAGGGTAAGCATGCATCTCCTTTAAAAATTAATGTTTTTTTTTTTGTGGTGAAAACACTCCAAATCTTTTCTTGTAGTTTTAAAAAAAATAGACGGTGACTATCCTTATCTAGAGTCCTCGTACTTATTCTCTGTATCCATCTGTAACTTGGATAACTTGTACCCACAGAGCAACCTATTCCTAGCTCTTCTTTGCCAGCCTCTGATTGCTGATTTTATGCTGAACTCTGAAAAGTAAATTTAGTAAACATGGTCTCCTATTTCCGAGCTGAGGAAGGAAGTCTGAGGATGGGTAAGCAACTTGCTTCCTCACAGATGCAGCTGGGAAGTTGTAGAGCCAGTAAATACCCTCACAGCATCCAATTCTATTTACCTCTGTGTGCTAATCACCATCAAATGATTAGTGATACCGTATGATATACTTGCTTCCAAGCCTATGGGTATGACAATAGTGTTGTGAATCTCAGTGATTAAGCACTTTGTGTCTTCCAGTATTGCAAAGTCCTCATTCTGAGTGTGAAAGCACAGTAAATATATGTTCACATCAAGCATTAGTGAGCAGAGGGTTGACTGTGTATGAATTTGTTAAAAATATTCCACTCATTCAGGAGAACTCTGCAAACAACTGTGATTTATACTAAGAGTTGTTTCTACCATTAAGCATGAAATTATGCAAAAATAGAATCAAATGCTTCACACACGCACCTTCAAGCTTTGTTCCATGAAGTAGTAATCAGGTTATTCACAATATCTGCTGGGGGTTTGAGCGCAAATTCCACTTATGTGTGTTCACTCCTGCCCCATGCTGTTCTCAGGGCATAATGTGCATTTCATTTAATACTTACAACAATACTTTAGGGAAAGTCATCTTTATTTTTTTCATTTTATAGGTTGAGAATGAGACTTAGAAGACAAACAAATCTGCCATACATTCCTGTTAGTAGATAGAAGAGCTAGAGTTCCAGGCTGATTTGGAAAATTCTACAGAGAGGGGATAGCAAAGACGTAAGTCTTAGGTATGCAGTGTCTAAGTTATTGAACAAAAGCAAAAAGAGCAGAAAATCTGGAGAATGAACTATGGGGAAAGAGAGTAAGGGACAAGATCGAAGGAAATATGGTTCATTAGTGTGTCCGTGGTCTGCCTAGCATTGCAAATGCTTTGATGTTCAACAGTCTTACTGTGACATGATATAACACAATCCTGCTTTCTTGAATGCATTTCTAGCCAGACCTAAGCAAGGCAACTGAACTCCATAATTTTAATAAAAGTTACATGACTTGGAAATTTTCATGTGAAATAATTAAAGATTAAATTCCTTTCATTTTTACTTATATAACGAATACATTTGGCAAAGGTATTTTATTCTTACAAGCATTACAAGTGATATCCTGTCATTACTCAAGCACCTCATACTGCTGATGTTATAAGTACATGCTCTGAAAAATCTACTGAAAGAAAAACCTAAAGGAGCACTGGGAGTACACCCAAGTGTACAAGAAATGGCTACAACTTCATTCTCCTAAATTAAGTTAAATGACAACATAACAGAATGGTGAAGATTTCTGTGTCTAAAATAACAAATTCCCTTCCGATAATTTTGTCAATGCCTGGTATTTTCATACCAAGCTTCCCATCCATCATAACCAATGCCTATTGTTCTCGGGGTTCAAGGCAGTGTTAGTTCCTGGAGTTAAGGTTTTTTCTTGTTTCTCTTATATTGCCAGTCATAAAAGGCACTGTTGCTGACTCTGGAAAGCAGGGGCTAGCTTCAACTTATCACCCTACTACAGCCTTGAGCAAGCCTCTGCTTATAGTTTTGCCATCCTGTAAAGGCTGACAGCGAGCTGGGTTCTCCATTAAATAGTAATTAAATCCTCAACATGGTGGGCTCTGTCTTCTAAATTTTATTGATTCTCAGATTTATGCCATCTTAATTCTTTCCTTTCCTAGTCACCTGATAGACTTCATTCATGGCATAAATGGCACCAGAAAATGAAATAGAAAAAAAAAAAAACATAAACAGTTTTTAGGGTAATTCTTAGTGTTGTAAAATACAGTGTAGCACAGGAACCCATAAGGATCAGATATCTTTCATGAGTTAACAGAAGAGCAAACACAAAACAAAACAAAATGAAAGAAAGAAAAGCAAAACAAATAAATAGCAAAATTTCAATAGATGCTCTTAATATGGAGTTATTCAAGACAAAGAACTCTAAGAGCAAACATTTCCCAGCTGAGCAGTCATGGATTCCTGATGCACAAACCAGAGGATCAGTCCCACTTAAAGTTCTGAAGGAACATCTCTTTAGGATGTTATTAAATTGTGGCTTTTGAGAAATGGTAGTGTGGTGATTTATAAATCTTCAAAGCTGAACATATATATCCTAATACTAAGTAAATTAAAGGATATGTCGGCAGGAGAATGGTGTTGTTAAAAACACATGATATAGAAAAAGCTGACACTTGTTTCCCTGTTGGGCAGGAGCAGAGTTGAAAGTGTTGACCAGTGAAGGGCTTCATACAAAGGGTACTTTCAAACAAAGATCGCAAAATAGTAGGTCATGAATATGTTGAGGGAGAAATATCCAGGAAGAAGAAAAATCCAGTACAACTACTCTAAGACAGTGGTGGGAGGTTGCTGGGGGATGGTCTATGTGTCAAATCTGTTGCTCTCATTGGTCAATAAATAAAACACTGATTTGCCAGTGGCTAGGCAGGAAGTATAGGTGGAACTAACAGAGAGGAGAAATGAAAGAACAGGAAGGTGAAAGGGAGTCACTGCTAGCCACCGCCATGACAAATAGCATGTGAAGACGCTGGTAAGCCACAAGCCACGTGGCAAGGTATAGATTTATAGAAATGGATTAATTTAAGATATAAGAACAGTTAGCAAGAAGCATGCCATGGCCATACAGTTTGAAAGCAATATAAGTCTCTGTGTTTACTTGGTTGGGTCTGAGCGGCTGTGGGACTGGCGGGTGAGAAAGATTTGTCCTGACTGTGGGCAAGGCAGAAAACTCTAGCTACAGGAGGTGGATTAAAAAGAGGAAATATGGGGCCATATAGGGTTTGCTTATTGCAGTGAACAGAGTAGTCAATGGTGAACTGTGAGCAGAATGATGTAATCTGGTGTATGTGTTGTCATGGCCATTCTGGCTGCCATGTTGAGAGCATTCTGAAGGAGGAAGAGTGGCAGGAGGCTGAAAACCCAGGAGACCTGGGCTGTGTGTGGCATCACATAGAGGAAGGTGGCTCTAGTTAGGACTGTAGCTGCTCTGAGTGGTAGCAAAAAAAAAAAAATTTGGTCAACTTGGATGATGCAGGAAGTAAAATATGATTGATATGTATTGACTTGAGGAACAGAAAGGATAACCAAACCATTGCTGATGGTAAGAATAAGGAGAAGCAGTTTCAGGGTAAGATTTTTGAGTTCAGTTTTGGACCTTTTGGATTTGAGGTACCCATTGGACATTGAAATGAAAATGTCAATTAGAGAACGAGAAAGAGAGAATGGAAGTTTAAATACAGAGTTCAAGAGAAAGGTCTGGATTTATGACACATGTTTTTAGAGTTTAGTTAGTATTATAAATCTACAGATGGAATGAAACCAACAAAGAGTGTAGTTCAAGAATAATAAATCTGGTTAAAACATTAGAGTTTGGCTGGGAATGGTAGCATATGCTTTAATCCCAGCACCTGAGAGGCCAAGGAAGGTGGATATCGGAAAGTTTAAAGGCAGTCTGGCCTACATAATGAGCAAAATGGATTCCAGGCCAACCAGGCTATATAGTGAGACCCTATCTTAAAAAAAAAAAGATGGAGTCATCAGCAAAGAAGAATTGGACACTGAGTTCCTCAGGGAGAGCAAAATTGACAGAAGGTGATATTGTGTAGGGTTAAGAGATCAGTTAGATATGGATTGGACTTATAACATGTTAAAGAGAGTATTTGGACAGTGAATAGAAACAAGGTTTTATGCATCTGTTTGTAAGGTATTGAAGACAGCAAGATTTTTTTCCCCCTCAGATGGGAAAGAAAGGTTCATGTTTTAATATGAGAAAAACAAGGGAAAATTGTTGGGAAATAAAACTGAGTTGAGGAAAGAGAATGGATCTTGTTTTGGTGGTGTAATGGTTAGTCTTTGTGGGCTTTACACTGTCTCTGTTCTAGCAGTGAGGCAGAACACATGGGCACAGATGCTGGTGGGTGGATCTCAGCTGGCTGCCCTATTTCCTCAGTGAGAGTGGAATCAAGGCCAATACTGAAAGTAATGCTGATGGAGGAGGTAGCAGAGTGTTCCAGAATTTACTGCTCTAAGGCTGGTTTTTTAACCACAACACTTTCATGACTTGATGGAGGATTTCGTTATAATTTTGAAACACATCTGATGTTTTCCAAGTTAGGTAGCTGGTACAATAAGAGTTTTGAAGCTTAGATTTTTTTTAGGGGAAATATTATTGATTGAAGAATATTGGTGTACATACATGCGCGTGTGCGTGTGTGTGTGCGTGCGCGCGCACACACACAAAAAGTAAAAACAAAAATAAGACTGATATCTCTGGATGGTAAAAAGGCTGTGTGGTCTTAAACTACAGTGGAAATGTTATATTTTCAATTAACCTGGTTTACTGTGGTGCAGATGGCATCTTCCAACACTGTAATTACCTACTAAAGGATCTGATTGTTCTGTGCACTGGCCAATGTTTGGCTGATATCTGTTTTTAATCTTCCATAATTTGTTAAAAAATAATAGCTGATTGGTGATTTGCATCTCTCAGAGTTTACCTGATGAAAAAGATATATTTTCCAATATATTTATATCTGTGGGGTCTAAAGCTACAATGAACAAATGTGAATGTGTTAGTTAACCTGTTCATCTTGAGCCCCAAATGTGAAATTAAGTTACTTATAAACTATTCTTTTAAAATAAATATTAAAGAAATTTGCATACTATGTTAATGATGCTTTCTGAATGATCTATAATTTTGTGATAATAGAAATGGAAGTGAAAAAAAAAGCAAGTTACAATTTCAAAGTTTCTTATTATCTGATTGGAAATGGAAGGTCCATTAACTAATTATAAAAACTTGATTATGAAGGAGGACTTGAGAGTCACATACTTTTCTTTTTTAACTTTTTAAAATTTGATTTTCGACAATTTAACACATGTGTATGCACATAGACATAAAGCTATATATGCATATATATGTGTATATAATGTATTCTGATTTCTGTCACCCATCTTCTCTTGTCTCTTTCCACCCTACTACCCATAGCCTCACCTCTCCATTAACTGAGTTTAACTGGGCCTTCTTAGTGATTATGGGTTTGGAATTATCCATTGCAGCTCCGTTGTCTCATAAGTGGACATAGAATTGCAGAAGATGTTGATCCATTCCCCCAGAACCCATTGCTGTCCAATAGTTCGGCAGGGAAGGGTAGGATGTTGTGAACATCTCTTCAGCCCATGATTGGGTGTTGGGAGGCCCAGTCTTCTACAGACCTAGGCAAAGCAACTGCAGCTAGTGTGAGATCATGACTGCACTGACTGTGCCATGTCCAGAAGAAGTCATTTCTCTGGATATTACATTCTTTCTGCCCTCTCTTCCACAGTGTTCCCTGACCCTTATGTAGAATAGTATAAAACGTCTTGTTTAGGACTGAGCACTCAATCATCTCTTATTTACCTCAAGCAGCAATGTGTCTCTGTATTCATTACCATTCACTGCAAAGAGAAATTATCTGACGAAGACTGGGAGTAGCATGTATCTACAGATAAAACATAAAAATATCCATATGTTTATATCCATATGCATATAAATATAAACACAAATCATTAGAAGGCAGTTTAGCACCATGTTATGTCAATAAATGCTAAGAACAAAAGTAATAAGCTCACACTTAGGGCTGGCAATATCCTCATCCATGTTTTGTTTTGCTTTGTTTCCTTTTTCTGAGATTTTTATTCACACATAAAATGTATTTTGATCAAACACACCTCATATTCTTTTCCCACTAACTCTCCTCTCCTTTCCTTCCCATTATTATGTATCCTTTATTTAATTTTAAAGCCTTATGTGTCTACTTAAAGCTCCTGGATAAACATGGGTTGAGGGTGTCTGCAGGAGCATGAGTAACCTCCCAGGGACCGCATTCTCCCATAGAAGTCATCAATTACCAATAGTATCTCAGTGAGGAATGAGATACTTCATGAGTCATCCCTCTTCCCCCGCTGCCTATCCATGCTGGAAATTTAACTGTTCTTATGCAGGTCTTGCGCATGTAAACACAGTCACTGTGAATTCATATGATTCAAAAACGCTGATTTGCTACAGACATATACTACCTCTGACTTTAACAACCTTTCTGGCTCCTTTCTGTGATGATGTCTGAGCCTTGGGATATGTGATATATATGGCCTACTTTGAGCTAAACACCCCATAGTCTCTTATTCTCTGCATGATGGTAGGTTGTGGGTCTCTGTGTTAATTACCATCAACTGAAAACACAGGTTTCTCATATGAGGATTTAAAGATGCACTAATATGTGAATATAAAGGTAACCTGGAAACTTCATCTCTACTAGCTAGGCTCCATCATTTTAGAAGATTTTATGCGTGATTACTAGTCAGGGAGACTAGTAATCAAAAGTCTTAGCTAGCTGTGAACTGTGTGAGATACAAGAATTAACAACTGGCCTGGCATGATATGGCCCACTGGTACAATAGTGATACAGATGTAGGAGTAACAAACAACTTTTCTGATTGAAATTTAAGCCCTGCTTCATAAAACAGAATTCAGACCTGCTGCCATTAACTGGGCCAAAAATCTGTGGATGGCTAGATCATGGGCCCTAAAGGAGAACTTAATACTGCCATTCTGCTAAATGGACATAGTAATAAAATTCCCCCTAATTTCTTAACTTTTGTACCCATAGACTGCTGCATCTCTCCACCAGGGGGATTTAACCTGGTTTACAAAGGAGACGTGAGTTCCTTCCATGGACCATGACTCAAAACTGATCTAAGAGCAAATTATTAACCTCATAACAATTACATCATTATTGTACCAGTAGGCACACCTTGCCTGGAAGGTTGGTAGTGCAGTTCACAAGTTAGCAGCTAGATAAGACTGCTGATATCTCTTCTCCCCACAAATATGCATAGCACCTTCAGAAACTATGAAAGCTACCTACAGGTAGGAAGCATCCAGCTCAGTTCCAGCTTGCTTTATCTATATCTTGAAACCGCAGTGTGTGATATCTCCTTTAAAAGCCTTAGTAATAGTGACACATATTGGCTATTAACTAATGGAAATAGGTTTTTATTCACTGGTACAATATTACTTTTAATGAAGTTTTGTTATATCAACATGTTAATGAATAGTGTTTTAAATTTGCAACACTGAAAACATGTAAAAATAGAAAAATTCATATGATTCTTAATAAAAAAATGTAGAAAGGGGTAGCAATTGATGGAGGTAGCAAATAATTGAGATTGTGCTTGAATTTGTCTTCAGACTATAAAAAAACTCCATGTAGACAATAATTTAATATTTAATTTAAGTATACTTATGATGTTGCCCTTTCAATTCACTGTTCTGTTTTCATTTGGACAATGAATATAGAAATCTCTAGGACCTGGGACATTGGTGATAATACAGATCATGTGTCCTTTGGGACTTGGGCCTCACTCAGCCTTTACTTACAAGGATGCTAATCTATTTTTCTTTACAGCATCCACTTCAAATTATAAAGCTCCAATAGAGTAGTTACAGTATTCCTATTCTTATTGACAATAGAGAGAAGTCGATATGGAGACATCTTTTGGTCTTGATATCTAGGACAGCTCTCTCATGAGAATTGATGAGTCTCTCATGAGAAAAAGTTGACTGAACACCATCCATTGTGTGTTATCACCAGGTCTGCACAGCTAACACCAAGGTGACGTGGAGTTCTAAATACTCTGCTCTGGTCCTGACAGAGAAGCAGAAAATCAAACTCCTGATTCTAGGTCTTAAGCCCAGTAACTATCCGACCTTCCAGAAACTAAATATTCTTGCCCCTCAGGATTTTTATATGAAATGTTAGATAATAATACAATCTTGCCTACTTCACAGAATAAAGACTTAAATATTGTGAGAAACATATAACCCTCTTATGTTTGTTTTTCTAGCCTCGCTGTTCCCAACAGCCTTTGGGTGGTATTTAGTTTTCACTGTGTTTTTCCTTCCCACCTCTTGCCTTGCATTGATAGATATTTTTGCACGGTAACAACCTGAACAGTCTACACCAACTAATTCATCCTGAGATCCTGCCTTCTGAGTTTGGAGGAATGTTGCCCCCATATGACATGGGGACGTGGGCAAGAACCCTGCTAGACCATGAGTATGATGATGACAGCGAGTACAGCGTGGACTCCTACAGCATGCCTGTGAAGGAAGTAGAGAAGGAGCTCTCCCCGAAATCCATGAAGAGGTAGGTATGTTGTAGATTGCCTGGGAAGAGGGTAAAACTCCTGGGGGAAGGTACACTGAGTTTGACTTCCTCATTTTCTTTTCTGTGCCTTATTTCCTTTCTGACATAATTTTAAAGTCTTGCTGTGACAATGACTATTTTCTAAGTACATAAAAATCCAATTAATTACTCAGGAAAAAAAGTCATATGGGTTATATAGACACATACAAGCAACACACACTCACGTTCAAACACTACATTCAAGCTTATGTTACCCGTTCAATATTTCTCTTCAGTCTTTGTCTAAAGGTAGGCATTTCTGTGCCAACCACTATGTCCTTCAAGGTTTAGTCATCATAAGGTTCATTATTGAGTTAGAGTCCATCTGACTGTTTTGACTCATAATGCTTTATGCTGTTTCTTTCCGTTAGTGGGTGGGGGAATTGCAGATGCATGCTTATATAATTGGTTCTGCCTCTGAATCCTGTAGCAAACAATATGGCTTTGATTCTCTGGCTTCCCCAGGCCCCAGAAGAGTGCAACTTAATGGTGCTAACAGATAACACCACAAGTCTAATCACCATCAATGAAAGTGTATGCTTCCTGCTACCTCTAGGAAGATGCACATATTTCACTTGTTATGCTCAACCTTATCCACCTTTTTTTTTTTTTTTTTAGCATGAAAGCTTCATGGTTCTTTGATTAAGGCTTTGATTCAGGTAGTGTCAAGCATGATCCTAAAAAGTGACTCTCTCCCTTCCTTCCTCTCTCTCTCTCTTGTCCTTCCCCCTTTCTGTCTCTGTTTCTCTTCATCTCTGTTTATCTCTGTCTTTCTCTGTCTCTCTGTCTCATATATGTATGAGCACGTACTTGTTTTTATGAGATGATGATGATGTTTGCTCACTACAGGCAACTGCACACCTTCTGGAAATAAAAGGAAAGGGCTGGAAATTTCCCCTGCTACCTATCATTTCCTTACTTGCTAACAAATTTGTTTTTAAGCTGACCTCAGGTTTCTTAGCTCCCTTCACTTGGCAGCCATGTGCAATAATTATCAGTAAACCTGAGGGTTCATTAACCTCCTGAGGTGTTTGCTGATAGTCTGCTGAGGATTTTGTTCAGTACTAAGTTGCCTCCAAAGTCTGCTTAGGTGTAACTAAATGGGCATGTCTATGTGTTTACATGGCTGTTTTTCTAACTCTAAAAAAGTTCCTAAAACAAAAATCCTGAAAAGTAATTGCCTCTGGGTAATTGTCACTTAACAAAAGTAATTCTACTAACAATTGTGATGCTCTAACATTTGCTATGCATTTATCATAAAATAGCCCTGAAAGGTGTGCCTGTTAGTTCTCACAGAAAACTTGCTAAAATATTGTCTTCTCAGAGCTTCTCCCATGCCCGGTGTGTGTGTGTGTGTGTGTGTGTGTGTGTGTGTGTGTGTGTGTGTGTGTGTGTGTGTGTGTGAAGTTTAGGAGACAGGTGTCTCTAATGGCCCCTAGTCTCCTCTCTTAACAGTTAACAAAGGCATTTCCCTTGGCCATTCCTTCTGTGACAGTTTCATTCACATGGTCCCATCCCAGGCACACATTTCTCTCTTCAATCTAGCTGCATCTCTATCACTCACACCGTTGACCTTTTCCCTTCACAAGAATTTTCTGGTTGCCCTCTTAAGTTCCGTTGTTACCTCATTCCCCTTTCCTTATTTATAATCCACACGGAAATCCAAACATCCTTTTAAAAATGTGACTCAAGTCATCACACAACCTCCATTTAAATTTCAGAGGACTGGTGATTGGATCACAAATCACAACATGGTATGACTTAACAAACCACTGTATCATCTGGCCCTGCCTGCATTTCTCCACTGGGTTATCACAACATCTCCTTCCTCTCCTACCTTCAGATGCAGCAGTCTTCTCTGCTTCTCAGCTTCTCCAGCTGGTCCCTCTCTAAAGTCTTTACTTATCATCTCTGGCTTGAGTTCTTTTTCCATGTGTCTTCAAATGGCTGGTACCTGTCAAAGGACCTCCTCAAAAAGGTCTCTGCCCCTTTTGCAGCCACCCAGTCTTAACCATTTTGATGTGCTATTCATTCTACTCATTTCATACCAATCACTGTCCTTTTAAGAAAATTTCCTCGTATCATTTAGCAACGCTGTGAAATGACTGGGGCTATAGTATGAAATTTGTGGAGACCATGGTGACTGTATTTGTTCTGTTTTCCAAATCCCTTGTTCCTGGAGGTAGGCTGTCCCCAAAACGGCCCACTACATGCTAGCTGAGTGGATGAGTGAGTTGTTTTCTGACTTTCAAGGCTGCCTAAAGTAAGTATTCATAACTAATAGGTGGCATTTGAACCTACTGTGACTAGTGGTATCTACATGTCTTGTATAGACCTTGTTAGCTTCTGGTTATCAGTAGTTGCTATGCAAGAAGTCAAAGCATGTTGCTGATTCACACTAAGCACCTTAAACTGAGTCTTGCTCGTCTGTTAGCCCATGACCCCTAATTTTATGTTTTGCATTTAGCCTTGTTTTGAGAGAATAATTTTGATGGAGTAGAATCTCCTTTTAGATAAGCTATGTAGCCCTAATTTGAAGTCAGTTTGGATCCTGTTTCTTTACTCCAATTAGTTGGGGGCATTTTGGTCCTTGAGATCAGGCTTCTAGCCCATCCCCCAGCCCAGTTGTATATTTTGCTTCTGATGTGAGCTGATTAGAACTTTGGAGGTTCTTGTTCATTGGTGTGTGCTTATAGCATGTGAAGGTTTTGTAATCCTATTGGGGATGTCTTGCTGTGTGAATTTGCTGGGGGGAGAAGAACATGATCAGTTGAAAAGATGCAAAGTTCCCTAGAGTATGCCTGTCTTTAGTGCTGGGAATGTCTTGTGTCTTATACTTACAGGCCCTAGGATACTGTCTGACTACATGCAGCAAGACTAATATTTCACTTTTGTTGAATCATGAGTAACCTCTCAGGGACAATATTCCTAAAGAAAATGGATCCTGCACAACTGAATGTTTGCTGACTCCCCATGGGAGGCCTAACCTTTTGAGAGGAGGGAATGGGGGATAACTTGGAGGGGGGAAGGGTTGTGGGGGGAGCAGGAGGAAGGAAGAGAGGGAGATCTGTGGTTGGTATGTAAAATGAATAAAAAAAAAAACTCTTAATAAAGAAAAAAACAAAAAATGGACTCTCCCTCCTCTATTGAGTCATCAGCTGTCAATAGTATATCACTGGAAGGTGGGACTTCCTGAGTTACCCCACCCCCACCCCCAACTCCACCCCCCCACAACTCATCCATGCAGAGACTTTGACTGGCTTATTGTTATGTAGGTCTTGTGTATGCAGCCACCACGATTATTAATTCCTATGGCCTAAGCAGCTGTTTTGCTGCAGCTATCCATTTAGCTGAAAGGTATGAACACTTATGACTACGTCTCAATCTGTATTCTACTGACTTGTATAATTTCACACTCTTGTTTCTTGCAGTTAGCTAACAAGATGGTTCTAGTCCCATCTTATTGATAAGGAGATCAGAGACAAGAAAGATAGTGAATTCCGGTTCTCATTTCAGTGAGCAGACAATCACGTTCTGTGAGCTGCTTCCTTAACCCTTTTTGTTTGTCATGTGTTTGGGGTTTAGGTATGCACTATTATATTTTTATTCTCACTATGGTAATGTAAAGTAGGAGTTCTTTCCCAATTTTACACATAGAATAGTATAATTTTTAGGAGTTTTAATAGCCTTCCCTTGATCAAAAGGCAAGTAATTCGCTAAAAAAGTAACTGGGATTGAAATACTTTTCTCTGAAATCTAGGTCTAAAATATTTTATTGCAGCCTGTTATAGCTGCATATTACTGAATAAACAAATATTGGATAATTAAATTTAACTTCCTTTGTTATTTCATGTGTGCATGTTTGTGTATGTTCATGTATGTATGGGCATGGGTACTTGTGTAGGTGTATGTGTATGGATGTAGTTGATGTCAGGTGTCTTTCTTGGCTGCTCTTACCTTATTGTTTGAAACATGGCCTTTCATTGACCCTGTTGCTTACCAGTTTTACTGCCCTGACTGGTTATCAGCTTCAGGGATCCCCTAGTTGGGGTCAGAGATACTGGCAAATACTCAGCTTGTACTTGGGTGTTGAGGATCCAAACTCAGATCCCCATATTTTCATGAAAGGCATTTTAGAAACAGTCATTTTCCAAGCTCCTTACTTATTTTGAAAAATGGAATAAAAACATCCAGATATACATAGTTAATGGTAGAGAGTTTCCTTTTCCATGACTGGATAAACCACTTCGGAACAATGTTGATCTTATACAAACCACCTCCTCTTTCATACAAGAAAGTAAGAATAAAACCTCAGACTAAGTGAATGAAATACAACCAGGGCAACTAAATACCAAAGACAGTCTTAATTATTTTTCAGAGTGTTTCCTTTTTCTGTTGTGAAGTTGTTGTGCAGATGGAGCCAACATTTACCCACCAACGGCTCTGAAAACTGCAATGCCTGAGAAAATAATGTAACAATTTAATTCCAATTCAGACAACATATTTTATATTCTTAAAATGTCAGATTCCATTCAAACTGAAGATAATGTATTGTGTATCCGGGTGTGTGTTTTAGCGGAATATTATGGCAAGCACAAATAATTTATTGATGGGCTTTGTGCGGCTTAAACAGCTTCGCCATTTACTTCTGTGAGATGATTAAGACAGTTCAAAGTCTGAATAGTAGATGTAGTTTTATGATATTTTCTGTTTTTCCAAAGAATGGATTTTCTGTTTCTCTTGTTGCTCTTCACTTTGAATGCATACCATTATTTTTGTATGAAAATTTGTTAGAAATTGAGATATTAAAATCTTACTATGCATCTTACCCTTTGATTCTCAACTTTGCCTCTCCCCTTTCCTCTCTGTCTTCTTTTCCTCTTTATTCAATTCCACAAAAACACTCAGGGAAACAGAAAATTTTACTCAGTATGTTTTGTAAGATCTAGTGCCTATTTAATATTCAGATAAACTGAAATTCATCTAAGAAATAAACCCTCTCCCCACTTTTAAAAAAATGCTCCCATTTTCTTTTTCTTTTTTTTTTTTGAAACAGGATTGTTTATTTAAATAAATGAGTCATTTTGTTGGCGAATCTTGTGTTTCTTAAAAATATAATTAGTTCTATTACGCTCTTTCTTATTAGCATGTGCAATTGTAATTTAGCTGAGAGTCTTCCTTTTGGGGAGTTAATGAAGTCTGCTAAGAGGCACGTTGCTACAGCGAAAGGCAATTGGCTGGAATGCAGCAGTGTGGAAGAATTCATTACCAGGGAGGGCTCTAAAAGGGCAGCTGCTTCTTAATGCCATAGCCATTAAAATAGCATCTCTCTGCCACAACATTAGTGTGCGCCATTGTTTCCTCTTCTTTCCATTCTCATGCAATTTCCGGTGAGGAGCTGGTATATAATTCCACCTTCTCTATCAAAAGTGTGTATGTACATGGGGTTCTTAAATTGTGTGCTTTCTTAGCTATAGACCCTTCCTGCCCAAATAAGCATTTTTATTTTAAACATCTTTCAACATTTCTTGAAGAGTTTAAACATATGGGTTATTTTATTTGGATTTTCCAGTGGGAAACTTGACAAAATTACATTCAAATTCTGATTTGTTGTTGTTGGTGGTGGTGATGTAATAATTAAAATTGAGAGATGATAAGGAAATGAGTTATAATTATTTTTGATTTGTTTTTGTAGATTATTTTAAAGCAGGAATTAATCCTCTTGCTGGTGTTGAAATCATCATCAAAAGCATCTACCTATTAGTTTCTTTTTCTATCCAGAAATAATTTATTAGAAAATATCTGTCCTACACTAGAAAATTTCAGTATCTCAAAGAGAACACTCTTGCTCAGCTGTCAAGACAACATTAATCCTATTATTTTCTGTTTAGAACCCGGGAAGCCAGAGGGGATTGTTTGCTCACTCTGATGCCAAACTCCAAATGTATGATAGCCACAGCTCATAAATCCCTTGATGTGGGGGAAGAGATTTCACAGCCATGGGAGAAGCAGCAGTGGAGAAAAGACTGACGGGAATGTCATGTGGATAATTCTGGGCGCTAACTCGTTGTCTTTGGCTTTATTCTTTTCAGATCACAATCAGTAGTGGACCCCACAGCACTAAAACGCATGGATAAAAGTGAAGAAGAAAACATGCAGCCTTTACTTTCTCTGGACTAAGAACTTCTCCACCCCCTACCCCACCGATTAGAAATGGGAGGTACTGGCTTTCAGCAACAGGACAGCACTGTGGCATTTACCTGCTGGAAAACCTTATCCATGTTAATGTAGCATAATGCATAAGGCATCTGGCTTTCACATTTGCCTAAACCATGGGTGCCCCGGGCTAGATTTTAAAAAGTCAATAATTTATTCTGTAAGTGCCAAGTTCTTTGTAAATACAATATAGTCTTCACATCAAGTTTGTAAATTTTGGTAGTAATTTAATTTGGGAAAGATTGACTCACAAGTTTGAGCCAGTGATATGGACTATAATAATAAGCATAAAGACACATACACTATGGAATTTAATTAAATGTATCCCTGTTTCCTATGAAGCCATATTTCTGCTATCATAGTGAATTGTCTCATCGTCTTTCTCTGAAACACTGTCAATATTCAAACATACTTGGGCACAGTAAACAATTATTCCAGGAAATTGCTATGATTAATGTTTTCCTGTTCAGTGGTTTTCATTTCAGAGGAACTATCCTAGAGCCATCATTGACTGCATTCTGAAGAAAAAGAGTGGATATAAGCTGGTGAACAAAAAAACTGGAGCTTTTCTCTATTGTTTGATTCACAGAGTCTTGCAAGACAATTTATTTCCCCACTCAAGATGTGGAATTCTGAAAAAAGGATGGATATTTGTCTAAATTGTTGTCTTCACAATGTTCCATTTGGCTAAGGTCACATTGTAATCCTTGTCTGATGTACTTTAGAATATTTTCATCTAAAATTCATTGACCAAGAAAATGAGAATTAGTTCCTGAATAATTTTGACAGCCAATTTTGAATATAAAGTTTATCACTTACAAATAGGGAGGGCCTACTTTCACATCATTATGTACTTGCTGAAAAATAGATTCACACACAACATACATATTGTTATTGCATTCTAATAAATTCTCAATATGACAGGCTTTGAGATGTCATGGAAAATGACTTTCAGTGAAGTCAATAAAAATGAGAACATGAGACAGACTTCAGGGTACCTATTCAAGGGATTTCAATATACCATAAAATGAAATCTTGAATATGTGGCACCTTAATGAATGTGGTTTTTTTCCCTTTTTAAAAAACAACAAACCTCAGTATAGCAAAGATACCAGGCAATGAAAAGCAAGAGTTTTTCTTAAATTTAAGTTAATTATCATGTTGTTCTTTTATGCTTACATTTTCTTTTGAGAAGAGATTCAAAGTACATGACATTTGACAGCTATAATGAAAGTGTTGGAGAGCATCTAAGACAGCATATAACAGTTTAAGTCTAGACTCAAATTTTTATATGATTTAAAGTTTTATTTCATAAATTGTATAATTATAGCCTATGTTAAACATCTCAATTTAAATTTCAAATTCTCGTGTAGAAAGGCAGGATTTTTTTATCACTCTCCTGGCATGATGAATCTTAAGATTGAGAATTTACCATTATTCTTTCAAAAAGAACATATCTCCAAGAACTTTTGGAAACTAGTATAAGCAAAGGCATATAACAGCTTTAACATACACATTAGCCAAGAACTTAAAAAAAATCCAGTTATGTTTATGCAGCCCGAAATCTCAAAGTTGAATTAACACACAGGTCTTAAGCAACATGGGCTGCCTAATGCTTATAAAATTACAAAGATCATGAATTTTTTTAAATATACTTTAAGAATGGCAACCTTCAGTTGAGTGCAGAACAACAGTGATGGTCCAGGGACTGTCCATCCTTGTGGCAGAGATCAAAGACAAATGAGAATTAAATGCCAGGGCAATTCTAAGAGATAATAACTGATGCACCAATAATTGATGTGTGTGTTTTTGTCTACCTGACATACATTCTACAGCCGTGGACTTTCCTCGTGTTGTAAACATGCATCAGGCAGAAGTCATTGAAATCAAATAAGAATAATGTAAGCAGGGACAGTGATGTATCAGTCTCTTGACACCCATCGTTTGTTGACAGGTTTCAGAGTCTACTAGCTTCAGATGTCATCCAGCATGGCCAGCATCCTTCTCCTACCACAAAGTTACTATCACATAAAAATAACTAGTATCATCCACACTCTCTCCTAAGCCCATATTTGGAAAATTCTCATTGGCATTGCCAAACGTCTGCTCCTCTTTAAATGAGCAACTGAAAGTTGGCTAGATGGTATACAATATTCTTTAAAAAATGAATGAACAAATTAAAACAATGATGCCTTTTGATTTTCTAGCAATGGTTTTAAAGCTGCTTAGTCAAGGGATATTTATTCAAATTTATAAATTTTCCCTTCAGCATCAGCTTAAAGCACCGTTTAGGCAAATCTTCCCTACTGCAACATTTTACATCATGTAGCAGTGTTTATGGTACACGATCTAGTAAATAAGCATGCCCGTGTTCTTCCACACTAGATGGTTCTGATGGCTTCTCCTTTTTACTTTGAATCCTGCATTTTTGCCATTAAAATAGTCTCATTGCTTGACATTTGTGAACTTCTAAGAGATACCATATCAATTTGGAATAGTCTGGTTGACCATTGTTCTCTACTTTTTTAAAAAATGGTGCTGGGCAAGGAACCCAGTCCTGAGCATAGAGGCAGGCACCCTACATCTAAGCTATATGCCGGATTCCAATTTATATTTTTCACTTTGTCTGACTTATCTTTTATTTCTTTCAGTTGTTTCAAGAACAGCTGCTCCCAAAACTGACTTATAAATAAAGAACTCTTATCATGTTCTCAGCAACACATTTTGTTGGCTACCATATAAGATAGTATCACAATATATACTCTAAGGAATATGAAGAAGTGCCTCTTTAAAAACAGAACAAAGCATCAGTTATGACATGCTCAGTTTATTTTCACACTCTTCCAAAAAACAAACAAACAAACAAAACCCAAGATATTCTTCAGTATTGTAAGGATAGCACGTAGATATCTCTTGAAAAGGATGTCCAAGGGTGTGGTTTGACAATTTTCATCCAGTATTGTTTGTTGTACAAAATCAATGCAGTAATTTCAATCCATGCTATTTAAAACAGAGCATTATGTTAAAACACTATGAAGATATTAAGTAGAGTTTTTTCCAAGCAAGTTGTTGAAATGGGTATGCATGACATTATTTCAGCAATAGTTTGCATTTGTGTGGGCAGAAGCATTCCATAAGCCATTTCATAGAAAATGCTTGTTTACACTATTAAAATTCTCAGATTGCTAAAGAAAAAGGCCATGTAAGATGTTCTCTTTAATATGAGTATGCAGGTCACATAGTTAAATCCAGCTTTTAAGGTTTTTGTAACATTCCTAAGGGAACAGAATTGATTGTATAACACTATGAAAAGGGGAACATTTAGGCTTCATGTTACAAGGAAACCTTTAGAGCCATGGCAGGCTGTTTCTATTTCTACACACAACTTCAAGTTTAGACTCATGGTCCGTTATGAATAGTGTATTAAGGAAATCTGCTGAGATAGTTAGTACTCCTGCTGCTTTATTAAAACTGCCTAGTTGGATTGTTTCATACTACTCCTTTGCTTCTGTCATTGAGTGCATATTTATTAATGATTCCTTAAAAAGTTGCCCTGAGCCATGATGACATTCCAGAAAGATTCTCAATGCACAGTAAGTTGACCCAAGTCCCAGCATGTGCTGTTTCAACTTTTAGGTGATATGGTATTGATACTTGATATCAGTAAGCCTCAGTCAAACATTCTAGTTTAGACCTGCTATGTGCACAGGTGGCCTGAAATAGCTGTGTGCTCTTTAAACCTTTGAGGCTGTCACAGGAAAAGACACACATGGGGGGAAAATGGACTTTTCTTGTTTTCAGTTGAGGAAAATAGATTCTCATATGCTACTGCAATGATTGGTCATTGCTCAACACTTCAGATTGGACAAATAAATAGAAATACAAGCAGGCCTTGGCTTTGTGACGTTATTATCTCACTGCCTTTACGGTCTGGAGAAAATCTTTCATGCATCCAAGATTTTAGTTTTTAAAAATTGGAGGTTAGTTAGTGCCACACATAATGCTATGAAGTTTGTCATTTGAGAAATATGGGAATGAATCCACCTAGACTGTAGGGAAATCATAAAACTGCATTTTTTGGTAGTAAAATGCTCAAATTGAACCCTTTGTTCAAAGGATTACAAATGTTACTGTAGAAATGAAGATAAGTTAGAAACCAAATAGTTGTGATAATTATGATAACTGCACTTTACAACAAGGGTTGGGAGGTGTTGACACTGTAGAAGGTGTGTGTCAGGGTTTAACAGAGTTTCAGATCTCCATGCGAATATTTCTGTCCTTTCTGTTTGCAGAATTCTTGATTACGTCAACATTATTTTTGTGAATAAAAGAGACCTATAGAAAGCCTAATGAAATCTTAAGAACATCTATAGCATGGACTGGTCCCCAAATATTTTGGAAAAAATCCCAATGATCTCTATGTAACTGATTTACATATCACAGGTTCAAGTCATTGTCTTATTTCTGATCTAGTTCTGTTTTGGATTTTTGTGTCATTGCATGATGTTTTTTAGTTGCAAGTTTTTATAATAAACTTAAAATAAATTTTAAAAATTCAAAATAAAGAAAGCTAAAAATATACATTTTTTTTTGTCTCCAAAGTTCAAATAATATCTAAGACAAAAGTTACACAAGTGTTTCAAAAGTATATTACTATTTGGCTTAAATGTAGTAACTATAGCTATTACACACTGTTTGTGTTTCATTACACATTATTCACTATTTGATTTCTTGAGAGAGTTCTTTATGACAAAGCATTAAGATAAAACATATCTCTTAACTTCAGGAGAGTAGATTTTTTTGCCAGACTTCACAAAGTTAATAATATACCTTGAAGTCACTGAAGATTTAAGACTGCTATCCTACTGTGAACTCAGCCTGTTGGTTAAATTTTCTTTTAAGTGGATGATGTAATAATTAATCTTACTTGCCTTGGATTTCCCATGGAATCAACTTTTCCAACCTAAGATAATGCATAGCTGTAATCCTAAATTATGTACTCTTCCATGCCCCTGACTAGGGCAATGCATGTGTATCATTTGCTGAAAGTAACAAATATAGAAGTTAAAAACATTCTTCTTCAATGAATATCCATCATAAATTTTGAACATAAATTTGGATACTGGTTGAAAAACAATGATTTTTGTAGTACTGTTTGTTATCTGGTCACTTGGGGAACAGTGGAGTTAGTGCCTTAATTCCTTGTAAAATTCTGTTGAAGATTTTGTTAAATTATCCCTCATTCCTTCTCCATTAGATGCTGTCTATGCTGTTCAGAAAAGTTAGAGGCATGCCTTTTGTTAGGGACAGAGACAGTCACACAGACATACTGGACAGAATCACAAGACAGTCTTCAGTCAGAGACAAATTCAGATTCATACAAGAGACAGACAGAACAGGGAGGATAAAGTAAAGATTTCAAATCTGGACTCACTCTTGGTTGAATCACTCCAAGGAGAAAGGCTTTTATTACTTTCCATAATGTGACATGGATGCACTATTAGTACCCTCATATTAATCATTAATGCATCTAATCCACTCAGTTATTTATTCCAACAGAATTGAAAATTGCAAAGTAATATTTTGTTGGTTTGGTTTAGTTTGGCTTCTTTTTTTGGTAAGTATATATACTTCTTTTAATGGTATTTGTTTTACATATGATAGATTTTAAGTGTGTAGGTGCTGAATGGGCTACATCTAAAAATATGGTGATTTCTAATGGAACACATACAAATAGAAAATAATTTCACTTGAAGAGATTATTGTTGCCTCTTGGTCAGAAATGTCTCAATTTTTCTAATATTTGAATGTTTAAAACAGAGGGAAATATATAATTGCATAATTCACTTCACTAAAATGAATCTTAGCATTTGATCACTTCAGAGACCTTCAACAGAGTGTAAAGAAGCTAACTTTTAAGTTGTGGAAAATAACCTTAACCACGATGTGATTTTTCACATCTTCACAGAAAGCAACTGGATTCTGCAGGAGTTTAAGTTCAGACATTAGAAACCATAGAACCATGTAGATGTAACCAACCGTCTTATTAAATAAGAAACACAGAACCAATGCAAAGAAGAAAGCCAAGAGGTCAGAGCTAAGACCTAAAACCTTACCCTTCCTCCTGCGGTGGTCCTACCTCTCCGAACCAGAGGTACTTCCTGTGTTAAAGTCTTTATATAGAGTTTCTGTTCTGCCTTCTCATTGGTTGTAAACCCAACCACATGACCACCTCGTCACGACCTGTCTGTATAGACCTCCAGGTCTTCTATGGTTGATATTGAGAGTAAAGGTGTGTGTATCCAATGCTGACTGTATCCTTGAACACACAGAGACTTACCTAGCTCTGCCTACCAAGAGCTGGGATTGCAAGCATATGCCACCACTGCTCTGCTTTCCTATGGCTTGCTAAAGCTCTGACCCCCGGGCAACTTTATTTATTAACATACAAATAACATTTTAATACAAATAAAATATCACCATAGAACCATCCACACTGATTTAAGTAAACCTCATTGAAAATAATTTCAGGAGTAAACATTAAGTAAAATGAAAATATTCAGCCTGACTGAAGAGTTAATTCAACTCTTAATTTCCCGGAACTCCCAAATTTGTATTTTGTGTGTATGTGGTCAATCATCACCTTAATGTTTCCTTTTCTTCTCTCATATGGCTTAATATATGCAGTCACTACATTAGCGAATCAGTGCCACATTTCTCATTCAGTGGATAGTTTCTTCAAAATGGAAACTACATCAAAATAAGAAGACAAAGGGTGGTGGTGGCACACACCTTTAATCCCAGCACTCGGGAGGCAGAGGCAGGTGGATCTCCGTGAGTTCGAGGCCAGCCTGGGCTACCAAGTGAGTTCCAGGAAAGGCACAAAGCTACACAGAGAAAGCCTGTCTCAAAAAAAAAAAAAAATAAGACAAAGCCACCAAATATTGAGAAGATGGCAAAATATTGGTTAAGAGATGATTCACTCTGCACAGATGCACATGTGTGTGCCTTTTTACTTCTTTTTTTAAAATTGAAAACATTTTTTTCATATTATATACTCTAATTATGCTTTCCTTTCCAGTTATGATTTCCTTCCCTCCAAGATCCTCCCCACCTCACCTCCCACCTGAATCCACACCCTTTTTTTGTCTCTACTTAGAAAACTAACAAGCATCTAAAGAATTAAAATAAAATAAGATAAAACAAAAACAAACTCGAATTGGACAAACAAACAGAAGAAAAAACAATAAGAAACACACATAGATGCAGAGACATGGATGGTTGCACACGTAGGCAGCTTCATTTGGGGGTGATAGGTTTTGGGTCTCTATTTTCCTGGCAATTGCATTTAGATCACCCTCCTACATGGACATACTTTAGAAGCATGAACTGTATTAGATTTCCATATGACCCCTCAAATGTCCTTTTAGTTTTAGTCATCACCTCCATAGTCCCCCTTTCGCCCCTCTCTTTTTTCCAACCCTTGTTTGATCCTACCAATCCTGTGCCCTCCTCATCCATCCATAACTATCTATTCTTTTTCCCCTTCCCAGGCAGACCCATCTGTCTCTCCTATTCCTGTATGCTACGCCTAACTTCTGTGGTTATACATATTGTAGCTTGCTTATCAAAGACTTAACAGCTAACATCACATATGAGCGAATATATACAATTGTCTTTCTGAGTCTGGGTTACCTGACTCAGGATGATTTTTTTTTTATAGCTTCATCCATTTACCTGAGAAATTTATTTTTTGACAGCTGAGTAATATTCTTTTGTGTAAATGTACCCTGTTTTCTTTATCTATCCAAGTATTGATGGACATTTAGGCTGTTTCCAATTTCTGGCTATTATGAATAGAGTAGACATGAATGTGGTTGGACAAGTGTCTCTGTAGCCTTTGGGTATATGCCCAAAAGTGATATAGCTAGATTTTGAGGTAGATCCATTCTGAGCTTCTTGAATAATCTCCACTCTGATCTCTGTAGTAGCTGTATAAGTTTGTACTCCTACCAGCAATGGATGAGTGGTCCCTTTACCGCATATTCTTACTGGCATGAGCTGTCACTTGTGTTATTGATTTTAGCCATTCTGCCTGGTGGAAGATGAAATCTCAAGGTAGATTAGATTTGCATTTCCATGATGATAAGGATGATGAACATTTCTTTCAGTGCTGGTATTTGTACTCTCTTAGAGTCCAGGCCCTTCTGCCTTTTAAAGTCTCCATTGAAATGTCAGATGTTAGTCTAATTTTTCATACTTAAATGTTAGTTGGCTTTTTCCCCTTATAGCTTTTAATATTCTCTCTTTGTTCTGTATGTTTCATGTTTTTATTATTTGTATTGGGAAATTTCAATTCTGGTCCAGTCTATTGGGTGTTCTGGATGCTTCCCATACCATGATAGGTATGTCCTTCTTCAGATTGGGGAAATTTTCTTTTATGATTTTATTGGAAATATTTTCTGTGCCTTTGACATGGGTTTACTCTCCTCTCTCTACTCCTGTTTATTCACAGATTTTGTCTTTTCATAGTGTCCTAGATTTCCTGGATGTTTTGTGTCTGAGATTTTTGGATCTAACATTTTCTTTGAGTGAGTTATACAGTCCATCTATTTTGTCTGCGATGCTTGAGATTCTGTCTTCTGCCTCTTGTATTATGTTGGTTGGCTTGCCTCTGAGTTTACTTTTGCAGTTCCTGACTTTTTCCTTTCCAATTTTCCCTATGTTTGGGGTTTCTTTCGTGATTCCATTTCCACTTTATATATATATATATATATATATATATATATATATATATATATATATAATATTATACAATATCTAATATATATTATATATATAATTTTATAATTAAGTTAATTTCACATATCAGCCATGGATTCCCCCATCCTCCCTCCTCCCACCCCACAGCCCTCCCCTCCCAATCTCCCTCATCCCACCTCCTCCAAGGCAAGGTCTCCCCTGGGGAGTCAGCCCAACTCGGTAGACTCAGCTGAGGCAGGTCCAGTCCCATCCTCCCTAAACCAAGGCTGAGCAGTGTCCCAGCATAGGCCCCAGTCTCCAAAAAGCCAGCCCATGTACCAAGGACAGGTCCAGGCTCCACTGTCTGGGGGCCTCCCAAACAGTTCAAGCTAATCAACTGTCCCACTTATCCAGAGGGCCCGGTCCGGTGCCGTGGGGGCTCCTCAGCCATTAGTTCACAGTTCATTCATTTCCACTAGTTTGGTTATTTGTCCCTGTGCTTTTTCCAATCATGGTCTCCATATCTCTCGCTCATACAATCCTCCTCTCTCTCACCGATTGGGCTCCCGGAGCTCCACCTGGGGCTCAGCCGTGGATCTCTGCATCTGCTTCCATCAGACACTGGATGAGAGTTCTATCATGACAGCCAGGGTGTTCGGCCATCTGATCACCAGAGCAGGTCAGCTCAAGCACTCTCTCGACCATTGCCAGTAGTCTATAGTAGAGGTATTTTTGTGGATTTCTGGGGACCTCTCTAGCACTTTGTTTCTTCCTGTTCCCCTGGGATCTTCATCTATTTCCACTTTCAAATCTTGAAGATCATTCCTCATCTCATTCCA